TCAGTCAAGCATTGTCCTGATTTTAAAATTCATATCCTTGCTTTCAAATGCCTCCATTGCCTCAATTTTCCAAGATATATGCCGTCTAATTCAGACCTCTTGTGAATTCCCAGTCTTAGTAGGCCACCAAGTGTAGAGCACGACTTCAGTTGTCTGGGCTGCAAACTCAGAAATCTCCTCCTCATATCTTTCTGCCTCTCTTTACCATGCTCCTTAAAACCTGTCCCTGACCAAAAAAGTAGTAACAATAAAAGGATTCTGTTGAGATATACAAAACATCAGCTCAGGAAACTTGTTGAACCTTTGTTTTCACAACAGGTTTAAACAAGCATGGTAAAGAGAGCAATGAGCAATAATCAGTGTAGATATATAGATCACTATTCTCAGGAAGGGTTGCTGGACCCAAAACGTTAATACTGATTTCTCTCCACAAATGCTGCCAGACCTGAGCTTTTCCAGCAATTTCTGTTTTTGTTTCTGATTTCCAGCATCCGCAGTTCTTTAAGTTTTTACTTGAGTGGTAGCGCAGTTTCAGGAATAGCCAGAGCTAAACCTTTTATCTCAGTTGTTTGTTTATTGTCTGTCAATGCTTATCATTCTGGTTTCTCCACCCCTCCTCAACCACAGACAAGTAATTGTTGGCATATTCTTGAGTACAAAGACCAGAAATACCTTTCTTCCTTAATCACTCACTTCACACTAACTGGCATTATTAACATCCATGGGAAAATTAACAGAATTGCATATGATGTAATAAGCAAAAAAGGTTGGAATTAAAAAGCCATGTTTAAAACAAAAAACAACATGAATCCATTAATTGTTTTGTTCTGTCCCTTAAAAGGTTCCCCATGGAAATAGAAGAGCAGGTTATCGCCCTGGAGAGAATAGGATAAATGGCCCAAGCCACTTTGGAAGAAATGAATATAGGAATCGGTACCGGAATGGACCCAAAAATTACTCTGACGTTCGATACAACCCACAGTCTTCACCCCGTGGTTTTACCACTGATAAGAGCCAAATCTCCAACACTCGATACAAGCCACAACCTGCACCCTGTGATTCTACCACTGATAAGAGTCAAATGTGTTCTACAGCTTCTAAGGACACAGCTGCACCTTCTGATCCCAGGCAGTCATCTTTACCTCCTGTTCCTGCCAGTGCCCTGTCTCAACGTAGGCCAAGATCAAGTGAAAATGAAACCTCTGTGAACTGCTGAAAGCTTCTGACGTCCAGCAACATGCCAGCGTCACAGCTAGATATGATAAAACACAATGAGTTTACATTTACCTTATCTGTGCCACCAGTGATTTGCCTTGCAGTTTTTTCCTCCTCCTCCTTGTTTTCAATTCAGCTTTTTTCATATTTTCACAAGTTTTTGAATTGATAGTGTCTATCTGTTGTTAATCTCTTCTGGAAGAGGGACCAGCACATGGCTGTACTTTAGAATGTTATTTAACCATTGTTGCCTGGTTTGTCATGATTAAATCAGTTAATTTTACTTTGAACCACCGATCTTTTCAAGAAATCACTATGCATCTCAAACTGTTGGAAAGAAAGTGCCTTGTACCTATAGTGTTCATTACAACCACTTAAATATTCCAGACACACTTAAAACTCAAAAGGACCAAAGACCTTCAAACTTTGCTGTGATCGTTGTGCTAGAGATCACCATCTAATTGTAAAAGGGCACAACTGTGACCCTTTGTTTTGTTCTAATAGGTTATGTATTTGGATGAAACTGTTTTTAGCAGTGAACTGCCTGTAAACTTGCATTTTGTGGAGATGATATGCTGACAGGATGCCAGATAACATTTCCTCTTCATTCAGCCTGTATTCACAAAATGATAGACAGGTGTGAAATGGCTTTCTTTTACACTGACACTGTAATTATAGTTCAAATTCAGAGACAGGGCCTAGCTGATAGGAAACAGAGATTTGCTGGAGGAGTTTGTCTCTGCCTCCTTTTGACGTCAACCGGCAAATTTAATGTCAGTGGGAACCTGAAATCACTTTGCACTGATGTTAGAATTTGTAGTGTGAATACAGAAGAATTGATCCAAAGTTTTAGTGGTATCTTTGCTGCTGAACTAACTTGTACTAGCTTCAGTCTGTTACTCCAAAAGTTCTTTCTAGATTTGTCTCAGAATATAAATTCAGCTAGCTCTGAAGAGTGAATCCACTTTCAGTGCTGCATGTCTGAGATGATCCTATATTCCCTTCTAAAATAGGTTTTAGATGTCGAGGTGGAAGGAACATAGAGAGGTGCCACTAAATATAGATGCTGCACCCCTTAGAAAATCATTTGCAAGTCTCAGTACGCCCTTGATCTCAAACCACAAGACTTCATACAGGTTCCAACCAATATTACTACTAGTAAACTAACAAAAGCATAAAGTGGAAAATATCTACAGAAGACTTTGCAACTCTCCCTTTGGTGCACTGGTCCAATTTTGATCTGTAGATCTTATTTGCTGTCTTAATTTGATTACTTTAACTGCATTGTAATAGTGAATGATTAGAACCATGCCCATTGAAGGCCTGTAATGACTCTAATTGAGTGAGAAGTGAAGCACGCAGAACAGCAAAGTGTGTTTTTAAACAAAAATAACACTTATGTTAAAATACATTGTCTTTCAAAATGAAGTCAGAAGTGTTCTTTTGTTCCCTCATGCTGGTAAACAAAATTAGTAAGTTTTGAAACATTCATTCGTACCATATGCTGTTTTACTTCCACCCCTGCTATTTTGTGCTAGCATTCAGATTATTACAAAAATTGCAAAATAAAGGCTATGCAGTGTTTTGGATCCACATAAAATGGCCCACTCAAATCATTGGTGCTAAGCCCATATCCCTTTTATTCTCTGCTGAATCAAGAATCAAATGAAATAAATTAAGTTCCAACTGTTCACATTCTGCACAATAGATTGAAATCCACTAAAAGTGTGAAGTAGTTACAGTAAATGGTTATTGTTATTAACCCCTACACACTTGATGTTGAGATAAGGGATCATGTCACAGATTCACTGAGCATATTTCTGGTAGTTCAGCAGTGAAGTGCTGGATACCCAAATCAATTATTGAAAGTTAGGTTACCATGCAGACAGCAAGCAATTTTTCAATATAGTTGATTATTATTTACATGACTGAGTCTGAATCTTCCAATCTTTGGTATGTTGATACATTATGGCTGCATCTCAGGCAGTAGAATTGCTGTTCCCTCTTAGTGCAAAGTCTTTTCCTGACGTATGTCATGTGTTTAAAACTTAGTTGATGAATAAAGCAGTATTCTAAACTAATCCTTGTTGTACAGCTGTGACTTTTCCCTCTCTATACAGCAAAATGTTATCATAATGGAGAGAGCTATCACATCTAATGACAGTCTATAGTACTTCCCATGGTGCATGAAATTACAAACTACATAGGGTAATTAATTTCATTAGCAAAATAGTGACTTCAAAACTCAGTTCTGATTTAAACTTCTGAGAGAGAACCTACTTTAGTGAGCTGTTTTGGAAAAATTGAGCAAACTGGGCCTCTATGCTCGAGTTTCAAAGAATGAGAGGTGATCTCATTGAAACCTACAAAATACTTGAGGGTTAAACGTGTTAGGAGCAGGCAAAATGTTTCCCTGGTTGGGGAGTCTAGAACAGGGTGGGGGGTGTTAAAATTTAACAATAATGGGGATGCCGCTTAGGTCTGAGATGAGAGTTTTTTTTTAAATTTGGTGGGTAGAGAATGCCAAAGGTTCACCACGCAGAGGACTATGGAAGCTCAGTCTTTGAGTATGTTTAAAGGAAGAGATTGATAGATTTCTGATTACTAATGGTGTACAGGGTTAAGTTATCGCCTTTTGTATTGTTAATTCATCACCCACAATTATAGCAAAGGTGGTCTGGAAGATGAGCTTGTAGAATGAGGGTTTCTGAGAATAAAGCTATCATAGTGCAATAAGGCACAGCTAAACGATTTTCAGGCAAATTGTAGCAGTACTAAGTTAATATCATATAATTGTCCCTTTGCTCTTTAGAAGTATTCTCACACTGATCATACATCTATTAAAGTGCATCTTGATTTTTGAGGGCAGGGGCAAACTATATCCTGTGGGAGATTTTGATTATGGTGCACATCCAGGGAAAAGAGATTGAGAGGAAGGAAAGTACAACTTTAATGATGACAGGAAGTTTTTGAAGGGCAACTGGTGATCTATAGTCGGCAAGTGAGAGGAATGGAGCACAGAACAGCATAAATATTTACAATGCAAGTAACCTCCTGTCTCTTCATATTTGCTGACTTGGTGCAGTTTGTAGAGGACATCGGTCCAAGGGAGGGACATGTTATTGACTTTGGGGTGATTGAGAGCTGGACTAGATGTGATGGTCTAGTAGTAAGATACTTTAGCCTGCTTGCAGTAGGAATTGTTTAGTACCTATAAGGTGTGCAACTATGGTCACTGACCTTAAGCAGAAGCTTCTCTTTTTTTAAAAAAAGTATTGAGTCAAGTCTAGCTTACCTTCACAGCTACTTCCTGTTGTCCTTAAAGGTCACTTTATCCTTCGCCCCCTCTATTCCTGCTCAAAATATTTCCCGCACCCCCTGGAAAGCCTGGCATGGTCCCAGGGGCCAAATCCCATCCCTGGACTAATCTCTACTGTGTGAATCCACCCCACCCCAAAGTTCCTGAAATTCAAATTCAATGGCTGGAGGAGTGTGAAGCCATTTTGCTGCAAGCTCTAGTCAGCATCAATCAAATGTCAGGCAAAGGTTGCTACTTTTAACTTTGAGAGTGGACGGGTGGTGGGTGTTCCCACAGATTGGAAAACAGCCAATGTGACGCCACTGTTAAAAAAAAAAGGAAGGAGACAGAAAGCAGGTAACTATAGGCCAGTTAGCTTAACTTCAGTAGTGGCGAAAATGCTTGAATCTATCATTAAGTAAGAAATAGCAAGACATCTGGATATAAATTGTCCCATTGGGAACACCCAGCATGGGTTCGTGAGGAGTAGGTCATGTTTAACTAATTTAGTAGAATTCTTTGAGGACATTACTTGCATGGTGGACAATGGGAAACCTGTGGATGTAGTGTATCTGGATTTCCAGAAGGCATTTGACAAGGTGCCACACCAAAGGCTGCTACATAAGTTAAAGTTGCACGGTATTACAGGTAATGTATTGGCATGGATAGAGGATTGGTTGACTAGTAGAAAACAAAGAGTAGGGGTAAATGGGTGTTTTTCTGGTTGGTGGTCAGTGGCTAGTGGTGTGCCTCAGGGATCAGTGTTGGGACTGCAATTGTTTACATTTTACATAGATGATTTGGAGTTGGGGACTAAGTGTGGTGTGTCAAAATTTGCAGATGACACTAAGGTGAGTGGTAGAGCAAAGTGTGCAGAAGACACAAAGTCCACAGAGGGAAATAGATAGTCTAAGTGAGTGGGCAAAGGTCTGGCAGATGGAGTACAATGTTGATAAATGTGAAGTCATCCATTTTGGTAGGAATAACAGCAAAATGGACTATGTTTTAAATGGTAAAAAAATTGCAGCACGCTGCTGTGCAGAGGGACTTGGGTGTCCTTGTGCGTGAATCGCTAACAGTAGGATTGCAGGTGCAGCAGGTAATTAAAAAGGCAAATGGAATTTTGTCTGTCATTGCTCGAGGGATGGAGTTTAAAAACAGGGAGGCTATGCTGCAGCTGTATAGAGTCCTGGTGAGGCCACACCTGGAGTACTGTGTGCAGTTTTGGTCTCCTTACTTGAGAAGAGATATACTAGCACAGGAGGGGGTGCAGAGGAGATTCACTCAGTTGATTCCAGAGTTGAGAGGGTTTGATTATGAGGAGAGACTGAGTAGACTGGGATTATACTCATTGGAATTCAGAAGAATGAGGGGAGATCTTACAGAAACATACTATGAAGGGAATAGATAAGGTGGAGTTCCACTAGCAGGTGAAATAGCCTCAAAATAAAGGGAAGCAGATGTGGGACTGAGGTCAGGAGGAACTTCTTCACCCAAAGGGTTGTGAATCTGTGGAATTCCCTGCCCAGTGAAGCAGTTGAAGCTACCTCGCTGAATGTTTTTAAGGCAAGGCTAGATAAATTTTTGAACAGTAAAGGAATTAAGGGTTATGGTGAGTGGGCGGTGAAGTGGAGCTGAGTCTCAAAAAGATCAGCCATGATCTTATTGAATGGTGGGACAGGCTCGAGGGGCCGTATGGCCTACTCCTGCTCCTAGTTCTTATGTGGCGCTGAGTAGGGTGCATGTGCATAAATGCACAATGCAGCAGAAAACACAAAATGTCCTCTTTTTACGTACTTGTAAAGAATTCAAGAGATTTTTCCCCAACTTTAAAACAAAGGGTTAGAATATTTTTAAAATAACTGTACACAAAAAAAATGCAAGTTTTACCTCAGATTATACTGAGTTAATATTCCATGGTTTAATTCCATTAAATAAATCATTAGAAACTTAATTGTGACAACACATGAATAGATTTCTGTGGAAATGATAAAGAACATTCTAGTTTGGAGTCATCTCCCAGGTGTGTCATTCACAAATGTCAAAATGTCAGGCTCATGCTCTCTTCCTTCTGCCTTGCCCATCAAGCTTATTTAGTTGGCCCATGCAAGGGAAAAGCAACACATTCCATAGCGTGTCTATTGACAGATATACATCAGTATTAGCAGATGACTCTGGTCTTGTGTTTGTTAATCCTTCTAAAATTAGATAAAACAGTTTACAGTCCAAAGATCAGGACGCTTACAAATCCCAGGCCATTGAATGATGCCTTAATCATTATTTTCAGCCACCACTTCCTGTTTCTTTAGAGACTGGAATCTGCCTGTTACTGCTGGTTCATTTTTGCAGCCTCAGCTCTGATCAGGGCAATCAGGTCCTGGTTAATTAGAAACACAAAGCGAAGGCCAGCAATCTACAAAAAATGAAGAAAACAAAAAAAATCTCAAATTTCATGAGTTTCCCATGCTAGAAATTTGAACCTAAAAGTAACAAAATCTTGTCCATCTATATAATTGGTTAATCGCTTCCCCAAGAAAATAAGCAATCTCCCTTGTACCCATTACCAAGAGCTTTGTGGCAGCAGTAAAGTGATTACAATTCACAAATATTTTAAAGAACATGGGTACCACAGAAAAGGCACTGCAATTTATCTCACTCAGAGCATTATTGAAACTTTTCTGAAAATCCAAGTGAACTACATCTACTAGATTAGCCACACTTGTAAGTGAAAATCTTTAATTCACATTGAGCCTCAAACTGTACTTGCTGATTTTGTGGTGACTGGAATTACAGCACATTATAATCCTTCAAAAAATAATGTTCAGTGATCCACACAATACAGTGAATATTTGACGAATGCAAGATAATTCACCTCAACTTTAATACAACACTTACTTCAACAACAGAATTGTTGTTCAACTTCCATTTATTTCCACTGAGTACTGGCCTGCCATCGATGTAGATGGGACGTCGGCCTTCATTAGCAACGAAGAAGTCTCCATTGTTCTTCAGTTTTATTATACCTTAAAGACAAACAAAATGATTTTAATAAGAAAAATCGTTCCCAGCTGTTTGATACCACATTGCTACACAAAAAGCAATTAATCCAGCATTAATTAACAGCTCTGGAGCCATAAAGAATTAGCAACACCAAAGAATTTCCTCACTACTACCTTGTCTTCTGGAGATTTTCCATGCTGGTCCTTCGAGAGAGAGGTCAACATCAATCTGATTATCTTTTGTGGCTCTACCCAACGTTATCTGTTTTCAGAAGAGAAGAAATGCATTTGTTAAAATGAAGAGGGATTATTATATTCAAACCGGGGACCATTTTAGACTTAGTGGGATCAAAATATGAAGTTATCTTTTCAGGTTCCTTAGAGCTTCTGTATTTGTGATTTTTTTCATTGCAGAATTTTTAAAAACTCACAACCCAGCAGAGTGGCAATGAATTGGGAACGCAAGATTGTCAAATTTCAGCATAACACTGAACTGAACTTGAATTCCACTGCTCAGGTAATGAGCATAAAAGCTACACTTGTGCCTCGGTTATTAGAAGGTGCTGTATAAATGCAAATTGTATGTTGATTTCTCCACAAATTCCTCCATCTGCCACTTGAATAATGCATTTCATGATCTTTAATCCTCGACAATCATATGTTCAATCATATATCTCGAATTCTGGGTTCAGGAGCTTCAGCACACCTGCAAAGTTGAGCATTTCCTGGATAGTACGTTTAGAGATGTGTTCACCCTGTGGCTCAAGGGTGTTTAGACACAAAGGGAATGAGTAGCCACCAGGCAGTTAGTGTGGGAGAACCACGTGATTCGCACTCTCCAACCAATACTGTTTTCTGAAAAACCAGTGAGTGATGGTTCATCTGGGGAGTGTAGATGAACCAAATCTGTGGCAATACAGGTGAAAATGGAAGAATGGTGAAGCAATAGTGATAGGGGATCAGACAAGTGTTTCTGTGGTCACAGAGATGGTATGCTGCCACTGGGACCACATCAGGCTGCACCTGAATAGATCTCAGAGCAATATCTTTTTGGATGATTGGGAAGGGATTAAAAACTATTTGGCAGGGAATTAGGAGGTAATATTACCAAGGTGAAATAAAGTGTTCTCAGATAGCACTAAAGCATGAAATAGCAAGGCATTATGTGGAGTCGGTAAAAGAAAGAATGTAATGAGGTTCAAATGAGGTCTACTGCAAATGTATGGGAACAGTGTGGCGAATAAGGTTGGTGAGCTGTAGGTGCAGATAGCCACGTGGGAAGAAATCATTACACTGCAAGGATTATGTAGAGCAGGTATATTGTGGCAGGTTTGTACAATACAGTAATAGTGTAAAGGGAGGACAGAAAAAGTGTTCAGAAAAATTTTCAATATCAGTATCTTTCTGGTCCACTGAGGAGAGGAGATACTGCTTGTTCTTGCACATCTCTTTACTATCCTTGTAAATTTGATCCTCTGTATCTTACCTACAAACAGGTTGCCTGTAGAATACACCCAAGAGTGTCTTGATCTAGACTTTGATACATTGGGCACGATTTCAAAATTTTCAGATGACAAAACTTGTCAAAAAACTTGCTAGTATTGGGACCAATAATGACAATGATGAACTTCAACACAATTTAAACAAGATGGCGGAAGAGGTGGACAAATGGCAGATTAAACTCAATGCAGTGAAGTGTGAAGGGATATATTTTGGTACGAAGAACAAGTAGAAGAAATATAAAGGCTACAATTCTAAAGCAGATGCAGGAGCAGAGGGACCTGGGGGCATAGTTAAATGAATCATTGATTGTAGCAGCAGAGGTTAAGAAATGGTTCATAAAGCATACAAAATTCTGCTGTGTATAAACAGGTTCATTGAATACTGAAGAAATAAGTTATGATAAACCTGTAAAATAAATTATTCAGCTCAACAAAAGGGCTCTGTCCAGTTTTAGGCCTCACACTTCAGGAAGGATGAGATAGCATTAGAGAGGGTGCAGAACAGACACAGGAGAATGGGCCCAGGGTGAGGAACTTGTGTTAGTTGGATGGACAGGAAAAGCTGGGCCTGTTCTCAAAGCAGAGTTGCTCCTGCAAAGAGCTGGCAGACAAAAGGCCAAATGGTCTCCTTCAGTGCTGTAACCGCTCTGAAAATCTACAACAGAGGACCTCAAAATACAAATAGGTGGATACTGTATCTGTCTGACATGGACAGCTCCATTGAATACTCTGGTTGTAAAACTGAAACTCAACTCCTTAGGTTGCTGACTTACCTGCTGGAAATCTGCATTTCTCTTTCAAAAATAGTCCCTATATCCTGAGAATGGAAACAAAATCATAAGCATACCCTACAAACATTTATGTATCAAAGAAAACATTGCCTTACCTCACGAGATCTCATTAAATATCGAACCATTCTGCCTCGCAAAACAGCAAGGGTCTGGTTATCAAAGTCTGGAGAGCTAATACCTTAAGGAAACAAGATTGGATCATTTTATAATGAAGGTTTTACTGGTGGGAATATTAATTTATAAAAACAATGTACAATTGTTAAATATTCCTTACAAAACATAATGTAAAAACTCACTTTTGATAGTAGGTAACTTTTATATTTGTAGAAATATCAGCCAATCCCTGCTAACCTTGGAAAACAATGTGAAAGAGCTAAGGGATGTGGAGGGGTTGTGATGGATATTTGGGCATCAATGAAATAGCATTTCTAGACTCATCTCCCAAAGCAATATACAAAAGTATTACTTCCCTTGTACACATACAAGTGCATTTTATACACAGCCATGACTCTCAGGCACCCCTTCAGAGTAAAGTGGTCATGTGTTTGAGTCCCACTCCTACTTCTTGCACTACTGCCAAGTTATGTTATGGCTGTAGCCACCATCTTCTACAACTAACCAGCAAGTGTGCGAAGGAGCAACCAAAGGGAACTCCTGGGTATACACCAGCATTCTGCCATTCAATATCACAGCCTGTTTGAGCACCAAGACACTGTTATCATGTGCCAATCCTGATGGGGCATTCTTAAACACACAATGCTGTAAAGTAGTTCAAAGTCCCACTACACAAAACCTATTAAGTTATGTAAATAGCACATGATCACACCATAAAACGTCTACAGATGAAATACCTAGATCAATCAGGTTAACTTCAGCGATGGGGAAGCTTCCAGAAATAATAATTCAGGATAGAATTAATAGTCACAAAGAAAAATAGGGTTGATTAAGGAAAAGACAATATGGATATCCTAAGGAAAAAAATTGTGTTCAACTAACTTGTGAATTTATTGAAGAAGTAACAGAAGGTTGATGAGGGTGATGCATTGGATATCATGCATATGGACTTCCAAAAGCCTTCCAATTCGGTGCCACATTATAGATTGTGAGAAAAGTTACAGCTCATGGGGTAAAAAGGAAAAGTAGCAGTACAGATAAAATATTGGCTGAGCAGAGGGAGACAGAGTAATGGTTAATGGATAGTTTTCAAGTTGGAGAAAGATTTGTAGCAGAGCTCCCATCTTGCTTTTCCCGATGTATATGTACACACACAACTGACCTAGTCTTGGGAGCTACAGAGAACAATTTCAAAGTTTGCAAGCAAAACACAATTAGAAGCATTGTAAACTGTAAGGAGGACAGTACAGAACTCCAAAAGTGTAGAACTCAAAAAGTGGCAAATGAAGTTCAATGCTGAGATGTGTGAGGTGATACACTTTAGCAGGAAAAACATGGAGACGGTATGAAAGAAAAGGATGTGAACACATTGGAAACAGTGCAAAAGAGATTTATAAGAATGGTTCCAGGGATGAGAAACTTCAGTTGAGGATAGACTGGAGAACTTGGGACTGTTTAACCTGAAGAGGGGAAGGCTAAGAGGAGAATTGATACAGGTTTACAAAATCATGACGGGACTGGACAGAGTAAATGCAGAGAAGCTATTCCCACTCTTAGCAGGATCAAGAATCAGGGCATGTATTTGAAGTGATTTGGAAAAGCAACAAATATAATTTCCAAAACATCTTTTGCAGACAGCGAGCGGTTTGGGTCTGGAAATATCTGGAAGTGTGGAGGAGGCAGGTTCAATCGAGGCATTCAAGAGGGTGGCAGATGATTTTTTGTTTCCTTTATTCATTCATGGGATGTGAGTTTCACTGGCTAGGCCAGCTTTTTTGCCCATCCCTAACTGCTAGGTTGTTTCAGAGAGCAATTAAGAGTCAACCACATTGCTGTGGATCTGAAGGCAGATGTAGGCTAGTGAAGGTAAGGATGACAGATTTCTTTCCCTACAGGACAGTTATTTGAATCAAAACCATATGCAAGATTGGGAAGAATAGGCAGGAGACTGGCACCAAGTCACAATACCCATTTGGAGAACTGATGCAGATACAATAGGCCAAATGGCCTCCTTCTGCAGAATAACAATTCTATGACCTAAAATCATAAATGTCTCATTGTCAACGAGATCTTTTGAAGGAGTGACTGTTTTTAATTCAGGCTGCAGTACCCTCTAAGATTTAGTGCAAACTGTGATATGCCCTGACAGCAGATGGTTTAATAATGTCAATGGGATCTGCTTAGTCACTGTTTGCTCCTTCACCTGTGACACTGTCCACAAGAACCTGCCATTTTGGAAGCTCCTGTTCCAACTGCCGAATCTCTCGCTTCTGACGCCGGTCTGCGAGAGTGAGCTCTGGAACAAAAACACAAAAAAAAATGTAAAAAGCATCAGAGTACCATGCCACAACATAGATTTTCTGTCAAAATTTAAACTAATTCATGTGTTTGCTGCACAATGGACGGGTTGGACCAAAGGGTCTGTTTCCATGCTGTATGACTCTATGATTCTATAACACAAGTAAGCACTATCACCAGCATGGAGTAAATCCTTCCCATTCTACACTGCAAAAATCACCAAACAAACAAATCATTAGATAAATCAACTCATTCAGCTCCTCCATCCAATCTACACTTACAGCACGGACCCCATCACAGCTAACAATTTCATAGTTTCACAGCATTTGCTTCCCTGCCAAGAATCCTATCCCATATATTAAAAGCAGTATTAAAGAACTCCATGGGACCAGTTCAACATTTGCCTCTAATAATTTCAATAACAGAAGAAATCCATGAAACCAAATAAACAAACACACAATTGTCATGGCTCCCAAACATCATGCTGGACAAAGACATTAAAGCTTCCATTAGTATCTGATCTTTGCTGTTAGATACCAATTATACAAGTTCAACTGACGTCTAGTAGGTCTAAATGAGATGCTATGAATTACATGGCAGCACTATCGTTTAGAGCTGCACTTTAAACCACAAAGGGCAGCACAATCACAAACCCAGTCTCTTATGTGAACATTTCCCCAGGACAAATGAAAAATTGCACATGGCAACCTAAATACTCTCAGAACATTCATAGCTGAACTCAACATTGAAATGAGTCAACAAGAAAATCCTATGACAAGACCAATCCCAAAACAGGGTGCAATAAAGACGTTCAACATACACTGACATAACAGAAACCATGACCTTGTGACTCTTCCTCAAATTAATTTTATCAGCAAACATTTGATCACCACTAATGGCAATATAGCAACCTACCATGTTCCAGGACATCATCTCTTGTTTCTCTGCAAAAAAAATATTAAAAAAAAAAGTGTTACACAGTCTTCTATTGCAGCCAAGACTGGTCACAACCCGACCAACAATCTACTTTATGACCAGATTCATGTCCCTGTTCAGAAGGTCCCAACTCATTCTCACAGATCTCCATGGGCTCTTGTGAGCTGCCAGGACCTCCCTCAACTTGTTCTTTGCTTGTGTGTAGCACAACAAGGAGGAAGAGCCCATTCGGCTGTTCTCACAGGTGGTGGGAGTATTGAGAAATGATCTGATGCAATTGATGAAATGTCCCCATTCAGAAGCAGATTCATCCAGGTTTGTCCAGTCGGGATCAATTTAGATTTCAGATGACAAACAGTGGCTAATTCAAGTTAAATGCAGCCCAGGGATATCGTGCGTTCACTTACATAAAGCTGAATTTACAGTAAACCAGTTTAGTAGAATCAGAACTTTAGGCAGGTTGCTCCAATTGTTTTTCTCTATATTTATGTGATGTGGGTATCACTGGCTGGGCTAGCATTTGTTGCCCGTCCCTAATTGCCCCAGAGATGGTGATGAACTGCATTCTTGAACCACTGCAGTCCTTAGGGTGTAGACAGACCCACAGCGCTGTTAGAGAGGCTGTTTAACCCAGTGACATATTTCCAAGTCAGGAACGTGTCCGGCTTAGAGGGGACCTTGCAGGGGGTGGGGTTTCCATGCATCTGCTGCCCTCATCCTTCTATACAATAGAGATCGTAGGTTTAGAAGGTGCTGTCCCCATTGCCAACAACAAAGAAACATTGAAAATAGGAGTAGGCCCTTCAGCTCTTCGAGCCTGCTCCACCATTCAGTACGATCATGGCTGATCTTCTAACTTAGTCCCCTGTTCCTGCTTTCTCCCCCATACAGTTTGATTCCTTCAGTCACAAGAAATATATCTAATTCCTTCTTGAAAACATTCAACGTTTTGCTCTCAACAACTTTCTGTGGCAGAAAATGCTACAAGCTGACATTTCTCATCTCAGTCCTAAATGGCCTACCCTATATCCTTAGATTGTGACCCCTGGTTCTGGACTCCCTGGTAGTCAGGAACATCTCCCTGACTTTACCCTGTCTAGTCCTGTTAAAATTTTATAGTTTCTATGAAATCCCTTCTCATTCTTCTAAACCCAAGTCCTGGCCGAACCAGTTTCTCATCATATGCCAGTCCTTCCACGCCAGGAATCAGTCTGGTAAACCTTTGTTACACTCCCCACATAGCCAGATTATCTTTCCGAAAGTAAGATCAAAACTGCACACAATATGGTCTCACCAACCCCGTATACAATTGCAGAAAGACATCCCTGCTCCTGTACTCAAATCTTATTGTTATGAAGGCCAACTTATCGTTTGCCTCCTTCACTACCTCCCGCACCTACACGATCACTTTCAGCGACTGGTGTACAAGGTCTCATTGCACTTCCCCCTTTCCCAGTCCATCACATTCAGGTACAGTCTGCCTTCCCGTTTTGCTTAACTGGATAACCTCATATTTATACACATTATATTTTGTTCGCCACACATTTGCCCACTCACTCAACTTGTCCAAATCACATTGAAGCATCTCTGCATCCTCCTCACAATTTGTGTCATCTGCAAACTTGGAGACATTATGTTTAGATCCATCATCTAAACCATTAATATATATTGTGAAGAGCTGGGGTCCAAGCACTGATCCCTGCAGTACACCACTAATCACTGTCTGCCACTCAGAAAAAGACCCGTTTATCCTGTGTGTTGTATTCACTGCACGCAATGTGGCCTACTCTACATTGGAGAGACCAAATGCAGACTGGGTGACCGCTTCGCAAAACACCTCCAGCCTGTGCACAATCATGACCCCGACCTTCCCGTGGCTGGTCATTTTAACACAGCGTCCTGCTCGCATGCCCACTTGTTTGTCCTCGGCATGTTGCAATGCTCCAGTGAATCACAGCGCAAACTGGAAGAACAACAGCTCATCTTCAAACTCTGTACTTTACAGCCTTCTGGGCTTAATATTGAGTTCAACACCTTCAAATTGTGAACCATTCCTTCCCTCTTTTAGCTTGTTACATTCTGTCACCATGTCCTCTCTCCCCTCCCTGCACCCCAGAGAGACAGTCTGTCCTTCCCGCTCTGGCTGTTAGACACACCATTGTTCTGCCATTCTCACATTCCCATCACTTCATCTGAACAACAGCATCTTTCCTCCCCCAGCACCCTACACCCCCTCCCCAACCCCCCTCACCCCCCCCCCCCTCCCCAAACTATAGCATAAATGCTGTTCCCTTCACGCTTCACTTCAGCTCTGACGAAGAGTTATCTAGACTCGAAACGTTAGCTTGTTCTCTCTCCATGGATGCTGCCTGACTTGCTGTGATCTTCAGCATTTGTTGTTTTCAGTTCAGATTCCAGCATCTGCAGGGATTTGCTCCTCCTTCCCCATTTATTCCTACTCTTTGTTTCCTGTCTGCCAACCAGTTCTCTGTTAGTACACTACCTCCAATCCCATGTGCTTTAATTTTAAACGTTGATCTCTTACCTGGGACCTTATGAAAAGCCTTCTGGAAGACCAGGTAAACCACATCCATTGGCTTTCCCTTATCAACTCCACTCGTTATATCCTCAAAAAATTCCAGTAGATTTGTCATGCACAATTTACCTTTCCTAATCCATGCTGACTCTGTCCGATCCTGTCACCATATTAAATCTTTCATAATGGACCCTAACATTTTCATTACTCCCGATGTCAGGTTAAGCAGTCTATAATCCCCTGTTTTCACTCTCCTCCTATTTTAAATACTAAGGTTATAGTAGCTACCCTCCAATCCATAGGAAATGTTCCAGAAACTATAGAATCTTGAAAGATGACCACCAACACATCCACTATTTCTAGGGCCACTTCCTTAAGTACTCTGGGACACAGACTATGGGGCCCTGGGGATTTATCAGTCTTTAATCCCATCAATTTCCCCAGCACCATTTCCCTACGAATATTGATTTCCTTCAGTTTCTCTCTCTCTCTCACTAGACCCTGCGCTCCCCAACATTTTTGAAACATTATTTGTGTCCTCCTTTGCAATTAATATGCCATTAATTGGTCTGCCATTTCTTTATTCCCCACTATAAAACTGACCTTGTTTCTGACATTTGTCTTCACTAAACTTTTTCTCTTCACATATCAACTGAAGCTTTTGCAATCAGTTTGTATGTTCCCTGCAAGCTTACATTCGTGCAGTCAATCCCTTTGTTCTCCTTTGCTGAAATCTAAACTGCTTCAAATCCTCAGGTCTGCTGCTTTTCTCGACCAATTTGTATGCCCCTTCCTTGGATCCAATACCATCGCTAATTTCCCCTGTTAGCCATGCTTGGGCTACCTTTCCTGTTTCATTTTTGTGCCAGACAGGAATAAACAATTTTTGTAGTTCTTCAATGCACCTTTGAAATGTTTGCCATTGCCTGACTACTGTCATCCTTTTAAGTAACATTCCTCAATTTATCATACCATCGTAGTTCCCTTTATTTAGATTCAGGACCCTAGTCTCAGAATCAACTAAGTCATTCGCCATCTTAATGAAGAATATTATGGTCACATGCAGTGATGTTCCCTCTAACCAAGGAAAAAAAAAATGCAAGCTTGAAAAGAAAAAAGCATTCATGTAACTAAGATTTACCAGTTTAAACATGCTTTTTTGTGCAATGTAGTTCCTAATCATCTTATATTGAGCTGCTACACACCCAATAAACAAAAACAGTTTGCTTGAAGTCTATGCTAGATTCAAACCCAGGTTCCAGAAGTACAAGGTGAATATCACATCTCTGTTATTTTACTACTTGAGAAATAAAAGGTCATTGACACAAAGATAAACAAAGAGAATGTGGCAGGGATAGAGACAGAATTACATTAATTTCCCAATGTAAACAAATCCTTAAACTCTTACTTGAGTTTGCTATCATCAATCATGTCTTCCGCATCAGAAAAATTCAGAACTTGATCTCCCTTCGGTAATGGTTGGACTAGCAAGTAAGTGAAGAACCAGTAAGAAAAATGGAGTAAAATCACCACAACACATTAAATTGACAGCAAAAAAAGCATGCTTATATAAAGCCTTTAGCATAATATTATCCAAAAATGTTTCATAAAAGCAAAACCAGATTCTAAACAATACAGAGTATGCAGTGTGACTGAAGAAATGTTCAGAGAGATTTGAAGCATGGGAGAGGTTGAATATTGTTTCAGTAAGCATTCCTATCACCTTCTTTAACCCAATAGACACACCAAAATGTTCTAATTTGGATGCACCTTTGTAGTGCCATTTCTAAATGATAAAATTTAATTTTTCTCTCTCCTAAAGAGACAGACTCTCACTTAGCAGATGCTGGACACTTTCTGGTACTTCACGTAATACATTCTTCGGACATACCTCATGCCTGCCAACATTCCCCAAAGTGAGTTTAAACAGAAAGCATCAGCAGATTTTTTTTTCCTTTGAAACTAAGTAGGAGGACATCAGACTAGTCAAATATTAGTGAGCCACTGTCTGGCCAGGATGGAGAAATTCACACTTTCAGAAGGATATATTGGCTTTGGAGAGAGTACAATGTAGTTTACAAGATGATACCTGGATTTCAGGGGTTATAAAGAGAGATTATGCAAATTAGGCCTGTTTTCACCAGAGTTTAGAAGGGTAAAGGGTGATCTGATCAAAGTCTTCAAGATATTAACAGGAAAAGACAGGGTAGATAAAGATAGACTAATTCCATTGGTTGAAGATTCTAAAACTAGGGGACACTGTCTGAAAATTAGGACCACACTATGCAGGAGAGATGTTAGGAAGCACTTCTACACACCCAAAGGAGGTAGATGTTTGGAACTCTCTTCCACAAATGGCAGTGGATGCTGGATCAGTTGTTAGTTTTAAATCTGAGATAGATAAATTTTTGTTAAGCAAAAGGTATTAAGGGATATGAGCCAAAGGCAAGTATATGGGGTTAGGCCACAGATAAGCCATGATCTCATTGAATGGTGGAACAGGCTCGAAGGGCTGAAATGGCCTACTCCTGCTTCTACGTTCCTAATATTTAAGCATTTAGCAGAAGCCAAATGATATTAACCAATCCACACTGCATCTCCACATTGCGTGATGACAGGTGCCTGCGTTTTCCACAGCCACCTGTGCCACTACAAGCTCGAAGGTACATACACCAAAGACGTGTAAAGAAAACATGGCCCCAACCAGCACATTCAGATGTTGAAGAAACCTATGAGGGTATGGGGAAAGCATCGGATGAATGTCTACTCTCTGCTCATCAGCCACAAAGCCAGCATGCTTTTACCTGTTTGATCTTCTAAGAGATAGTACTGTTTCATCAGCTGCCAATGAACCTGCAGAGATTTAGCAGTGCGAGACTGATAGAAAACATTTGGATGTTTATTCAATAACTCCTGAAAGGTGTCCAGTGTGGGTTGACTGGTCTATGGAGAGAACAGACAAAAAAGGTAAACAATGATTGATAGTTCTGTCAGCCCTGCTCTGTTAGATGGTTGAGATCTCCAAGCAAAGACATGTGAAACATTCCTCTCCCAAATTGAAAAGAATGTGCTCAATTTATTTAGGGACTAGCTATGATGAAATTCCAAATCCAAGTGTACTTAAATCGAGTACAGTCAGATACCTTTAGATAGGTCAGTTTAGGAAAGCTAACATTACCACAACGTTCTGAGGAAGGGTCACTCAACCTGAAACGTTAACTGATTTCTCTCCACAGATGCTGCCAGATCTGCTGAGCTTTTCCAACAATTTCTGCTTTTGCTTCTGATTTACAGCATCCACAGTTCTTTCAGTTTTTAATATTATTACTTATTGCAAGGGCTATTGAATAAGTCATGTTTCAGTCTCACCAGTGCCCTGTATAACTATGTCTGGAATAATGTGCACAGTATTGGTCACCTTATTTAAGGAGGATGTAAATGTGTTGGAAACAGTTCAGAGATTGTTTACTAGACTAATACCTAGAAAAAGTGGGTTTTGTGTTACAAGAAAAAGTTGGACAGACTAGGCTTGTATTTGCTGGAGATTAGAAGAAAAAGAAGAGTGACTTGATTGAAACATACAAGATCCTGAGGGGTCTTGACAGGATTTACATGGAAAGGTTGTTTTCTCATGTCATTATCTAGATCTAAGGGTCACTGTTTACAAATTTGGGTGGGCCCATGTACGACAGAGTTAGGGAGAGTTTTTTTCTCAGAGGGTCTGGAATCTTTGGAACTCTTTTCCTCAAGCGAGTCACTGAATTTTTAAGGCAGAGGTAGACAGATTCTTGATAAGCAAGGGGGTGAAAGGATATATAGGAACATGGAAAACTCAGATCAGCCATAACCTCACTGATCGGCGGAGCAGGCTCAAGGACTGAGTGGCCTCCTTCTGCTCCTAATTCCCTTGTTTGTATGATTTTATTAAAATGTCTTACTACAAATGTTCACTGATATTAGGGGGTCACATTAAAATATTTCATTTATGCATATATTTTCTTCCCTCTTTTGAAGGCATTTAAGGTTTGCTGGAGAAAACCTCGACCAAGTACAAGCAGCTCTCCAGTGCTATACTCTGATGGCCATTCTCCATGTCTGTATGACCAGAGGCAACGCTACCAGGCTCTTTGAACATTAAGAGCATCATAACTTAAGCCCCATTAAATACTTTCCCATAAGAATGTTCCAAAAGCAATCACAAGATTGGGCGACACGGTGGCTGAGTGGTTAGCACTGCTGCCTCACAGCGCCAGGGACCCAGTGTTCAATTCCAGCCTCGGGTGACTGTCTGTGTGGGAGTTTGCACGTTCTCCCCCGTGTCTGTGTGGGTTTCGTCCCACAGTCCAAAGATATGCAGGTTAGGGTGGATTGGCCATGCTAAATTGTCCATAGTGACCAGGGATATTCAGGCTAGGTGGATTAGCCATGGGAAATGCAGGGTTACAGGGACAAGGTAGGTCTGGGTGGGCTGCTGTTTGGACAGTTGATGTAGACTTGTTGGGACAAATGGCCTGTTTCCACACTGTAGAGATTCTATAAAATCTATAAAGATAGTTTTCAGGAACAGGAACCTTGAAAGACTTTGCCCCTATTCCGGGGCACTGTCCCAACAGCTACCATGGTTGAACTAAGAGCAGGAGTTTCATCAGGATCTTTCAAGACATTGGGCACTCTGTTCATTATGTGCATTATTCTGTATAGAATATAATCAACTTCAAGTCTCGGGCTGGAATCAATTTGATCCTCAAAATAATGAATTGCTTTTAACAACCTGCTCTCTTCCCCACACCTTGCCACCATTCCAATGTCCAGGTCTAAAAGAAAAGATCATTAATACTGTATTTTAACCCTGTGGAAAATACTGCATTCATTACCGATCCAATCTTTGCCAACTGTTGCTCCTCTGCTTTGCTATAAAGAGCTTTGGCCTGAATTGCTGCAATTGCTTCAGGATGAAGCTGTCTCATCGCCTGACAAGCCAATCTGAAAAAGCAAACAGCTATTAACAGATCTAGGTTCACGTTTGCTTTCACGGCTCAGACCTACACAAGATGTAAACAGGGAGGAAAAAATTATGGAACAGTTGTGAAATCCAAAAGTTCTTGACACGAAGCAAAGCTTTGAGCAATTTGTTTACATCTAAACTGTACAATCATGTTTCAAATTACTGGACCATTCACTTAACAATGAATTGTATTCCACAGCTGCAATGATCTTAAATTCACAAACTGTTTTACATACACAAAGTACAAAACATTCTACTTCTTAGCACAAATGTACACTTTGATAAGCAGAACATTCAGATTCATTATAAAGAAAAACAGAGCAGATGTAATGGAATATTGTCACAGTCTTTAATGCACCTCAGTAGTTTTTCATTTTATAGTCATTTTACTTACTTAGATATAACAGGGTCATACAACAATGCGTACCACCGCTCCCGGATCTCCCGTAATGTGAAACGACAACTGAACTTCACTCCGAGATGCACTGCAGTCAAGTCATTTGTCTGTAATTCAAAAATGCAACATCAGCCCACAAAAAGAATGGAAACATTCACTGAAGTTTCATATGCAGATGCCCACCGGTGAGCAAGATGCTAGTATTATTGGTTATTAAATAAAACATGCTCTAAGCAGCAGCACAAAATGTTTCAGTGGGTTTTCATCTGCAGAACGTTATCATTCCAACTACACAAGTCACAACGCAGTTACTATCACACAGGTTCTTCTCTATATTCTTTCACTCTTACCAACCTCCCCACCCCTCTGACACAGTCATTATCACTTCTTTCCTAAAATGTGCTGGGACATAGCAACACTGAGGGGAACTAACACTCCAGAACCTCAACCTAAATAGTCGCTCATTGTGTACAGCCCAAGTCATGTTAGCACTACTCAAATGTATCCCAGCAGAAAGAGATTCTCTCTTCAACCCCGCTACCATCTCACACGCACACCTTCCAGCAGAGATCAGGCAATACTGAGCAAGAGTAGGCACCTGGATCTCCTCCTTATCTCAGGGAATGATTTCATTTTTTTTAAGAAAAGAGAAAAGTGATGAGGTGATTAAAGACTGAGTCGGTAAATTGTAAGTAGTGCAGAGAACATTTAATTCAGATTTATGTCATATGCACTACCCACAATTTTCATTAACTTCCCACACTTTAATAAATGGACATAACAAAATATACTTCCAGTTTAAACACATTTCAACCTACTCACTGCAGAAAATCCTGAACTCCTCAGAATGCCTACAATGCACAAATGAATCAGGCCCAGAGGTTAGGCACAGATTAGGAATATCAAACACATCTTCACAACATTGCAAACTTAAGGTCATGTGCAACGTGGCTTATGTTCATTCCCGTGTTCTGATCCATTTGAAATCTTGCAAAAGATCATTTTTGGTATGAAGGTTGAATTTTCCTCTTAATTCATTGCTTCTTCTATTATTAACTTCTGTACATTCCCTATCTGTCTCTCATCGCTTTGTTATAGCACTGTACCACCACCTAGTGCTAAGAATCCGGTACTACAAGAGTGTTGAATGTCACAGTCATAGAGTCATATGGCACTGAAACAGACGCTTCAGTCCAACCAGTCCATGCCGACTGTAATCCCAAACTGAATTAGTCCCACCTGCCTGCTCCTGGCCCATATCCCTCTAAACCTTTCCTATTCATGTACCTATCCAAATGTCATAATTGTACCCGCATCCACCACTTCCTCAGGAAGTTCATTCCACAAGCAAACTGCTCTCTGCGTAAAAAATTTGCCCCTCATGTCTTCTTTAAATCTCTCTCCTCTCACCTTAAAAATGTGTCCCATAGTCTTGAAATTCCCCATTCTAGGGAAAGTACAATTACCATTAACTCTACCTACACCTCTCATTATAAACTTCTATAAGGTCCCCTCTCAACCTCCTACGCTCCAGTGAAAGAAGTCCCAGTCTATCCAGCCTTTCTTAATAACTCAAATCTTCCATACCCGGCAACATCCTCATAAATCTCTTCTGAACCCTCTCCAGCTTGATAATAACCTTCCTATAACTGGGTGACTAGAACTGGACACAGTATTCCAGAAGAGGCCTCACCAATGTCCTGCACGGCCTCAACATGACTTCTCAACTCCTATACTCAAAGGACTGAGCAATGAAGGCAAGTGTGCCAAACACTTTTTTAACCATCCTGTCTATATGTGATGCAAACTTCAAAGAATTATGTACCTGCATCCCTACATCCCTCTGTTCTACAACACTACCCAAAGGCCTACTATTAATTGTGTAAGCCCTACCTTTGTTTGTTGTACCAAAATGCAATACCTCACATTTATCCAGATTGAACTCCATCTGCCATTTTTCAACCCATTGATCAAGATCTCTTTGTAATCTTAAAAAACCTTCTTCACTGTCTACAATGCCACCAATTTGGTGGCTGAAAGCCATTGGCTGAAATACTAAAGAATACTTTCTTCTTTTCTGGATCTAGTTTGCCTCCTATTATACACAAAGTTGTATCAATGAAATTATGTGGGTTTTAAGAAGTTTATTATGCACAAGAATTGAAGATAAAACAGAATAAACCAAACTATTCACTCATAAACACATAAGATTTTGAAACACAATAAAGACAATCTTACTAATCCCAACAGTATTCCACTGCAGTACTCAAAACCAGACAGAATAGCTTTCTCTATCCCATATAGGGTTTGACTCAGCTGTGGCTCCAGTTCCCAATTGTGGGAATCCAATAACCTCTTCCTAAATCATAATATTAACTAAGCCTAGACTTTTTCAGTTCACATAACACCTCCAAGGTTTTCATCAAACAGTTCTAGTTTAAAACTTCGGACTAAACTCCTTAAACTGAGATAACCTACTTTTAACCATTCTAAACAATCTCCCTTTCTCGGAAGCAACTGCTTTACACATCCAGCTTCAGCTCAGAGCCCTGCAAAACTGCTCCAAACTGAAACATACAGCTGCTTTCCAAGATATAGGTATTTCCCCAAGCCCAAAGCAGAATTTTCTATCTGAAAGCTTAACGCACTACACTGTTTACTTTGTTCGCTTGCAAACTCTCCCAATATAATCAAATCCCCATTCGCCTCCAAAACACACAGTCTCAGATTGATTTTTAAAAGACATTACCATGGCGACAAGAATACCTACAAGTTAACCATTAAACCCCTTCAGACACAGAAAATTCATATGCCACGAGCTCGAAACTCAAAAACCCCAACTCCAAAATAAGTGATATTAAAACGTAGCAAGCTTTGTTTTAACCAGCACTCTCGATAAACTAGCACAAGTTATATACCTCAAATATTGAAAGTTTACTGCGTTATTGCAATCTCTGCAACGTCAAGTAGTCAGCTGAGGGTGCGAGAAAGAAGGCTCTCTGCCAGTAAGTTTTATTTAAGGTAAAGTTGCATTATTATTTAAGTGATTTATGCTGTAAGTAAAGTATAACAGTGCTGTGTATACTCCCTGCATTACGCTCCTATTCCTTAGTGTGTGTTTTTACATTGTTATGTGCACCTTTTGATCAACCAGAATATTTGATCAACTAGCAAACTCCTGGTGTCAGTTAATAGAAAGTTAATAAAAAGTTTGCTGTATGTATAGATCACACACATTACATCACAATCACAGAATCAAAAGATCTTAAAAGCAAATTACTTTATTAGAAGGCAACTTAGCAACAGGCCTGGATCGGAAAAGGGTTTTAAAAGAAAAACACATGGGGATGCACTTAAATTGGAAGCCATCATCCCAGAAACCAGGTCAAGCAAGCAAGAGCTGAAAGGAGAATCAATGTAGGAAAAAATGAAAAATGGGATAAAGATGAGATTGTATAAAATTGAAGCTTACTTCCAGGTTTCAAATGACTTAAATGGTAGAATTTACAGTAGATTGGAGAGAGTATATGCTTCCCATGAGGGAAGGTTCCTGCCAAAAGTCAATGACTTCAAACTTTGACCTTTTTTTTCCTCCCTTCAGATGCTGCCAGAACTGGGGTATTTCCAGCACTTTCACATTTTTCTTTCAATTCTCAAGATCTACAGCATTTTGCTTGTGCTTTGGGATTAGTTAGGTCCTGATTATATTGAGAGAATGAGCCACGGGAATGAGGCAAATAAATCAGAAGCTGATACAAGGTTCCAAATTTCAGGGAATACAGACATCTTTTGTGTAGAGTGCAACGATAAAAGCCATTTCAATCCCATATTTGTTCAACTTAAATCTGCCCTTAGTCCCTCTACTTCACCTGCAAGACTGCATTTATTAACAGCAAGTCATCTGTTGGTTTCCATCGTCCAAGATCTTTTGTGACTTGAAGTGGCTGCTTGCTTTTCTTCAGCCTCTTGGCAATGCTGCTGGGAGCTGATGGCACCGTGGTGGATTTTGACATCTGCTATAAGAATCACAGGGCAATATTAAAACACTAACCAAATACATGGCCTGGCCAGGATATTTCTACAACCAGTGCTTCAACAACCCATTGGGGTACAAACAGTTTAGTTACCAGCTTAAAAGTTTTCTTCTACATATGGACATTGTGATAAAATTCAGAGAATACACCACACTTTAGTGAATAAGGAACAGATATACAAGAAGTTAAAAACGAAACTTAAAACAATACAGGTTGCAATAAAACATAGAAAAATACTAGAAATATTGAGCAGGTCAACTAACATCCAAAAGAGGAAAAATAAATCACAATTCAAACTGGCAGGTCAGAGGCTGGGAAATGAGGTACATAACTCACCTCCCAACTCGCCAAAGCCTGTCCACTATCTACAAGGAACAAATTTTCAGTGCCAGCCTCCTTTGATTCATCAGTTAGAGCATGATCCTTGATACAATCAGCAAGTACTGGGAATTGCAGCATGGAGCTACAAATCAGAGGCTTCAAAAAAATAGATTGGAAAATGACACAAGGCAGTATGAACATTGAAGGATTCAAGACAATGCCAAACATTGGGAATAAGGTCAGGCAGTTTATGACTGTTCCCAGTCTAATTGCATCTTTGCCTTGCATCACAACGCAATTCCACTGCTAGACAGCACATGTAGCAGTGCATTATTCAGCATTTACTCAACGCATCACTCTATTTAGAGCAGAACAGTCCCAATGAAAATACCTCACAGTAAACAAAGCTTCTAATGTTGCAGAATGTGGAACTGGGATTGACTGGGTTGCTTGAAAAAGAGTCTCTGTGCCGAACAGCCTCCTCCTATGTCATAGTGACTTTACTTAACCAAGCAGTGAGGTGTATATTGGAAATGAACCACTCAGTAAATTTAGAAAACATTAACTCATTAACTAACTGCCTAAAGTGCACAGATAGAGAAAAGAAAAACACTACAGATGGTGGAAACCCAATTAAGAACCCATTTAAGCTGGAAATGGAAGCACATAGCAGTTCCATCAACTTCTGACGAAGAGACAGGTCAATAAAAAGGATCTGGCCAACCATTAATCTACCCTTTGTTTTCTCAAATGCTGATGGATCTACTGTGTATTTCCAGCATTTTGTTTGGTTTTGTTTCCTTGTATAGTTATGTACTTTTCTCTTCTCATTGGATGATGGTTCACTGCCAGAGTATCGCCCAGGTTCCATCCCTGTTGGACCCTTTGCCCGAGTGGAAGATTTAGCCAGGCTGCTCTCAACTAGCTCATCATCAAACTTCTTGCGTTTTATGGATCTGGAAAACGGAACAATGCAAGAATGGTCAGTCAGTGGTGCAAGAGAAAATGACAGAACAACATGGTGCAGTAAGAACAGGAAGCGTGCCCTGACTGTTCCAGATGCAGAGATTAAAATCTGAACTATTGCCAAAGAAAGAAATTGCTCCCAACTTAAAATTTAGGCCTGGAGATCTCAATAACACATTGTGATCTTGACCAATCACCTGAACTCAGATTTGAGTTTGAATCCAGTCCAAACTGATGGAGTGAAGGTTCTCTTCATTAAGATGGAAACATCAAAATATTTGAGGGTAAGGAGGATGACACACAGCACATGGTGCCAGTGCTGCACTGCAATATGTTTGCATTTGAGGCAGTCTCACCCCAAACCCAAGAGGGTGAATCTACAGCACAAGACTGCTTACATTGTGGTCATTACAAACTGTATTAAAGAAACTGTCAAGAAGAGTGGAACTGGAACAGAACATTCACATTGGTCATTCACCAGCTTTCCTCACTATTCTATGTCCAAACACAGGAATGCCAAAACAATAATATGCTTCAATGCGTGGCACAGACATCTCTGCCTTTGAATGAAGACGACTTTTTGTCAAATAAACTCCTCACAAAGTTGAAACTTTACCATGCCACACCACCACCCACTGGTCCTGGGGCCTCTAAACTTCCACTACACACAAATAACCACTAGCCCACAGCTTCACACCCAAGGCAATAAATCAGCACTTCAGAAACGCACCCACTTCAGATTTCTATCATTTAACTTTTGCTGGATACGTGGACAGCAAGTTCAAACAGGATCAGGCTTTGCTGTGAAGCCCTTTATGGGTCAAGGAATCCAACAGTCACATCCATGAAGAACATTTGCTTAAGAGAGGTACCAAAGGGGTGCTAACACCATGTTCAGCAGACAGGAAATTAGCAGAATAAATTAGGAGCAATTTTGAAAAAAAAAACACTTGTACTCATACAAAAACTCGCCACAAAGCATCCAATATGGTTATTCATCCGTCGCACTTCTCATCCTGTTAAACAATGTGAATCCTAAGATCCAGGTCTTAAATGCATGATAGCTGTATTCCCTCAACAATTTGTTAATGGCCCCTTCACATGATCGCCATTACAATTTATCCATTTACTTATGATGAACTTTAAAGAATCACGAACTTTACGACAGGTCATTGTAAGCATCATTTAAATTGGAGTTAAATCAAGTAGTGCAGCACTGCCCACCAGAAGGCTTGAACTATGTATGTGCAGTTGCTACTGTCAGAGAATTGACTAGCACCAGTGAAAGAAACAACTGGAGAGAAAGAGAGATGATTCTTTCCCTTCCCACCTAACAAGCAGTTTGTGAAAAGTTTGTGGACAATAATCAGAGGAGCATGGAAGCAGGTTATTCAGTAAGGGGAGATCCAAAAGGTAGAAAATCAATCAAAAAGTAATTCTGAAATCATTTCATCAACTGAGTTTACTCAGCCAAATGTGTATGGAAATACAAGTGATGGTAAAGAAGAACACCAAGCAACATGATTTCAAATTGGAGAGTTTGAAACATTTGACAAATTCTCAAATTAAATTCCCCAATGAAGTTACTGTTTACAGAGTGCAGGCTCCATTCAGGTGAATCTAGCCAGTCCTGTATCAGAGGGGTCTATCCATACAGAATCACTCGAATATCACAGATCATAATTTGATAGTCCAGTTATACTGTGAAAAAGGTCTTAAATAACAAATGCTCTGTTGTAGTAGGCAATCCTGTGGCTGTAAACTAGCTTGCCTATACACCTCACTAGGTGCAGAACATCTCTTTCCAAGCTTTCTTCACTTCCCTGTTTTTGGGAGGTAAGGTGCAACCAACAACAAAGATAAACGGCCACCACTACCACCATGAGCCACTGTCAAACTTCTGAATGCCAGCTGGAAATGAATGAGCATTTACAATCTTGTTTTTTTTGCCAATGCGAGCACTCAGAGCTCCACCCCAAAACATAAATAAAATTCAGAATATTCAGGTGGCTAATATTGCAGAGAACCATTTCAAGGAGAAGTGGCACTGTCATATAAATGAGGTGTAAATAAAAATCTGTGGGCGAGCTGAAGAGACAGCATTTCCACCCCTGCATTACCTGGATGAGCTTCGGCGTTTGGGAAGTAGGCTGAAAGCTTGAGTTGCGGTGCGTTTCTGTGCCGAGGGGGACTGGTCCCCATCAGATCTCCCCACAGAACCTGTCGACATAAGCCTTGTCCCAATAGTACCCAATGTACACTGCTGATCAGCTTCACAAAGAGAAAAAAGCATTGCTTATTATTTCATGTAAAAACAAATGAGTTTTACCGTCCATGTGATCTAATATACAAGCAATAAGATTGAATTTACTGACTTTAATGCTGTGACTCTACCTGACTTGTAATACTGCCCTCAAATACACACTAGCTGTCTATGCTGATTGATAACTAGCAAGTCTGTTAACTGAAGTAATTTTAGCCTTTCCTTCATAAGAAAGGTATTTTCTCAAATCTTTCTTGCATCATCTCCTGTCTGCTCGGGTATAAATCAATAGACATTACATATCCACAGTCAGTTCGCCCCCAAGTGGCGTTTATTTGGGACAGCGAGTGTCGACACATAATTTGATGACAGGATGCATGGAGTCCAAAAAATTACAATCAAGCTCAATCATATGTTTTACCGTCTTCCAGCAGCAGGGATCACAAACAAATCCTGACCAGAGTTTCCTTTCTCTAGCCAAGGAGTACCTCTTCCAGCACCTCTATTGAGACCCAAGCCAAAAAGTTACTGCAGCACACAGCAGGGACTGAACCTGGGAGTAACTGGTGGATTACATTTTTTTGAGAAAGGAGGTTGGAATGGATTTTATAGAAAATTCATTCATGGGACGTGGGGCGTAGCTGGCTAGCTCAGCACTTAAGTGTCCATTCCCAATTGCCTTCGAGAAGATAATAGTGAGCCACCTTCTTGAACTGGTGCAGTCTATGCAGTGTAGGGACACCCACAGTGCTGTTATAGAGTTCCAAAGTTTTACCCAGTAACAGCAAAGGAACAGCAATATAGCTCAAAATCAAATGTGTGGCTTGGAAGAGAATTTGGTGATGTTTTGATGTATCGGCTTTGCCCTTCTAGGAGGTAGAGATCACGAGTTCGGAAGATGCTTTTAAAGCAGCCTTGATAAGTTGCTGCAGTCCATCTTGCAGATGGTAAAAAAAAAGCTGCTTCTGTGCATTTGGTGGAGGGAGTGAACATGGATGATGGTGGCCGATTGTGCCAATCAAGCAGGCTGCTGTGCCCTGGATGGTGTCATACTCAACTCCCGCGGGAGCTGCACTCATCCAAACTCAAAATATCCCAACACAATCCTGACTTGTGCCTTGGGAACATGGTGAAGTAGGAGTAGGAATGGGCCACTCAGCTGTTCGAGCCTGTTCTGTCATTCAATGAGATTATGGTTGATCTGTGGCCGAACTCCATAACTGCCTTTGGCCCATATCCCTTTATACCTGTTCATAACAAAAAAATCTCAGATTTAAAATTAACAACTGATCTAGCATCAACTGTCTTTGGTGGAAGAGAGTTCCAAATCTCTACCACCCTTTGTGTGTAGAAGTGCTTCCTAACATCGCTCCTGAAAAGTCTGGCTCTAATTCTCAGACTGTGTCCCTTCGTTCTCAAATCCCCAACCAATGGAAATAGTTTATCTTAATCTACCCTGTCTTTTCCTGTTAATATCTTGAAGACTTCAATCAGATCACTCCTTAAGCTTCTAAACTCTAGAGAATGTCGATGATCAACAGACTTTGGGGAGTCAGAAGGTGAGTTATTCCTCTCTTGATTCCAAGCCTCCAATCTGCTTTTGCAGCCATAGTATTTATATGGTTGGTCCAGTTCACTTTCTGAGCAATGGTAATTCCCAAGATGTTAAAGTGGAGGATCCAGCGGTGGCAATGGTATTGAATGCCAAGGAGCAATGGTTAGATATTTTCTTATAGGAGACAGTCATTGCCCAGCACTTGAGTGGTGCAAACGTTACTTACCATTTGTCAGCCAAGCCTGGATGTTTTCCAGGTCTTACTGCACATGGACACAAGCTGCTTCAGTATCAGGTATTTTGCAGATGGTGCTGAACATTTTGCGACTTACTTCCGACCTTATAATGGAAGGAATATACTGAATTCAGATACTGAAACAGTCAGTGTCCAAATGCCACAAGACCCAAATAAAACTCAGGCTTAGGCTAAAATGTGTGCTGTCTACAAGATGCACTGCAACAGCTCACCAAGCCTCCTTCAACAGCACCTTCCAAACCCATGACCTCTACTATCTAGATGGAGAAGAGCAGCAAATACATGAGAACACCGCCACCTGCAAGTTCCCTTCCAAACCACTCACCATCCTGACTTGGAATTATAATGTCATTCCTTCACTGTCACTGGGTGTCCCAAAATCCTGGACTGTGGGACTGCAGCTGTTCAAGGTGGCAGCCCAAGTGCCTTCTCCAGGGCAATTCTGGATGGGCAATAAATGCTGGCCTAGCTATCAATGCCCATATCCCCTTAAGAAATTAAAAAAACTTTTGAGACTCATGCAACTAAAATAGGGAGAGAAATCACAATCTTCCACAAAACACACAGAAACTTATTTGTTCTTCTTCAACAGCACACAACTGTGAAATTCATAGAGTTCAGATCATCACTTGATTACCTCATTTGTTAAATTCTTCTCTCATGAATCCACTGTTATTACAACTATATGTGCAATCACTGTGGATCTGATGATGGGGGAAGAGATGCATACCTCTAAGCTTTAGAAAGGGTGCAGAAGAGATTTACTGAAATTATAATAGAACAGAGGGACCTTAACGGTTTGGAAAGACTGCAAAAAGTGGGATCGCTCTCCTTACAGCAGATTTGATCAGGGTGTTCAAAATCACAAATAGCTTTATTAGAAAAAAATAAGCAACAGAAGAGTTGGTAACCAGAGGACGTAAATGTAAGATGACCAGCAAAAGAACCAGAAGGAACTTGTTCAAACTTTCTTTAAAATAAACACCAAACACCAGAGTATACAATACCTTTATCTAAACTTCTTCCTTCCAGAGAGCTATTCTGACCAACCAAGGCAGAATTGCTCATCATCCGTGGCAGCGTGATACTAGCAAAGTCACTGTACGAGGCTTTCCATGCAAAGGTAGCTCATTGATCAAAACTTTATAAATCTGCAAAACAAATTTAAAACTGATATCAATTCTCCAGCAAGTTGAGCTTTCCTCCCTTCCATTTTGAAGTTCAGTCAAGCTCAACCTCTTAGCTCTACAAATACCTGGCCAAAACAACCTCTACTTTACACAATAATTTATACCGATGACTTGCATTTTATACTTAGCTATACTACAGGTGGCTGAACAGCTGATTTGCAATGCAGAGTGATGCCAATAATAGCCAGTTGATGTTACCATGAAGGACTCTCCCTCTCAACCTCTCCCCTCATGTAAAGCATGGTGAACCTCAGGTTAATCCATTACTTGTCGTCTTTCTCTAATGAGACAGCAGCCCTATGATCCTCTGGGACTGTAGTGATTTTACCTTTACTAGAGGTACCAGTCACAAAGAGCTGAAGATATATTGTTAACTATGCTCTGCACTGTGCAGAATTTAGTGAGAAGGAGCTCCAACTAGATGTGCTTTGACCCTTCTGCAGAGCTCCTCCCCACCAGGCACTTTTAAATGGGACAGCATGGCCAGAGGACCATTTTCAATAATATTGAAAAAGTATACATGGTTCCTCAAAAGGCAAAATTCTCGAGAATTGCCTAGCTTTTGCAAGAGAGCAAAATTATACTGCAGTATAAACTATAAACAAAGTGCAGCTATTTGCTTGAAGTCTTGCACTCCAGATGTGTGCACAAGACTCTAGAAATGTACTGCACCTTTCCAATCCAAGTAAAAGTAGTTAATTTTTGAAGTCTTAACCTCCACTATCACACAGCTATCTTTCTTCCAGCCTCATCAGGGCAGCTCTACAACAGTAACTTTTTTTCCCCTCACACCAGACATGGAATCACTAGCCCTTGGCCCTTTCTTATAGAAGGAGCAATTTGCTCGAGGTAGCTTACTGCAATTGTTCTTTCACAAATGGGAAAGGGTCAAAATTCCCAAGAAAATAAAACCCAGAGGAAATTTCTTTTGCTCCCACAAGTCTGGTTGACAGGGTTACCTGTTTTTAAATCTGGCCACTGAGCTAATGCAAATGGCTATGGCTAAATTTACAGAAAACTAACAAGGATGATGCCTTGTGTAAAGCATACACACTGTTCGGTTAAATGGTCTACTTATAAATGTTGTACAATTTTATGTGAAAAGGTTTATTTGAGTACCGCTAAGATGCCAACACAAATTTACAGTCGTTCTTAGGAGCTGTTTTATCAGATTGATTCAGGTCCCCCTTTTCCTTGCATGATTCAATTAGTGCTACTGGGTCATGTGAAAACATTATTTCGCAAGAATGAAACATTCATTTGCAAGTTTCACACACAATGGTACGGGTCACTAAACTGTGAACAAAGCAATTTTAAAACATAACAAACCTTCTGTTCTGTTGCTGTTTATTCTGCTCATTAAGAGCAAGGAACTACTCTGTTCTATATAATTCTCCCCCCACTCCCCCCAACAGAAGGTGCTATGGCTGGCCACCGCTCCCTAGGCACTCCCAGTAATCTCTGACTTGCCTCTGAGGAGGTTCAAGGTTCACGATGGGACTTCAGCACCTGGGTTTAAGATTATGATTCAGTCTTGATGTTTAGCTGAAGGAAACCGCAGCTCATCCAATTCGTTCAAGCAACCTGACAACATGAAGAGGTCAAAAGGGGTAACGGAGAGGTATACCTGGATGCAGTCAGTCTCCGTGTGGACCCCACTAAGAAAGAAAAAGACCAAAGATAAATTCTTTCTGGAATCGGGAGGGAACAGTGTCAGGACTAGAAGAGAACACCACAGATGCTTTGGCTTCAATCAGATGATTGAGAACAAAACCAAGACAGGTCACCAAGCTGGACAACAAGAAGATGTTGGTGGAAGATGGTTTAGTCAACTGTTTCAAAGACCAAAGGGTTGGAGAAGAACAACAAAGATAGCTCCCCCATGACAGTTATTACGACAGATTTGTGACTTTGATTTGGGTTGGACTGTGGTATAGAGAAACCAGTGCAGGAAGAGTCTGATCTGTTAATTGAAAAATCTGGTTAAAGGTAACATTAGTAAACATAATTAAGGTTTATACAAGAGAGGATCACAATTTTTAAAAAAAGCACAGCACATAGGAACTGGAGTAGGCCACTCAGTTCTTCAAGCCCACTCTGACATTCAATGAGATGACAGCTGATCTCCTACTTCAACGTCATTTTCCTGCACTAGCCCCATATCCCTTGTTCTTTTTAATATGTAGAAATCTATCAATCCCAGTCTTTAGCATATTCAATAATGGAGCCTCCACAGCTGTCTGGGCCAGAGAATTCTAAAGATTCACAACCCTCTAAGTGAAGAAATTCCTCCTCATCTCAGTCCTAAATGGCCTGTCCCTCACTCAAAGAAAATGTTCTTTCTTATATCGACACTGTCAAGCCCTGAAAAAAATTTTCATTGCTTCAATGCGATCACCTCCCATTCTCCTGGAGGCCAGAGAATATTGACCTAGTCCATTTAATCCATCATCATAGCATAACCCCAACATCTCAAGAATTAGTCTAGAAAGCCTTCACTGTACTCCTTCCATGGCAAGTATGTTTCCTTAGGTAAGATCAACACTGCCCTCAAAACTCCTTCTGTGATTTCACAAAGACTCTAAATAATTACAGTAAGACATCTTTATTTCTACACTAAACCCTCTTGCAATAAAGGCCAATATGCCATTTGCCTTCTAGGGTGATCATGTAGTATAGGTGTAGAACCCCACCTCTGGGCCAAAAGACCTGGGTTCAAATCTCACCTGCTCCAGAGGTGCATCATAACATATCTGAAAAGGTTGATTAAAAATATATACCATTTGCCACACCTTTGTATTATCTTTCAGTGACACATTAAAGAAGACACCCAAGTCCCTTTGAAGTTCAACATTTTCCAGCCTTTCACCATTTCAGAAAGGCTCTGTATTTCCGTTGTTCCTACTGAAGTGAGTAACCTCATTTTTCCACATTGCAATCTATCTGCAATTCCACCCTCAATCCGCCTTTTTTAATCCCCCTTGAAGCATCTTTGCATTCTCAAGTTATACGTCCACCCGGTTTTGTGTCATCTGCTAATTTGGTGATAATAAAATTTTGATCCCCACCATCTAAATCATTAACAACTGAGCCCTAAAATTTGAGTACGGTGCAGGAACCTTGTGGAGTGGCAAAAGAGGAGCTGAAATTGGAAAATAAAACATACAACGCTCATCGTTGTCTGTTTAAAACAAACACGGACCCTGAAAGTTGTTCAAAGACAATTAGAGTCCAGGCAGATCCGCAGCCCAAAAGTTGTCGTTTGTTTCTATCACAACCACTCACTTTGACTTAGAAAAAAATCATGAACACTGGACATTAGTGCCATTTATTTTTTTAAAAAAACATGTACCTTTATGCATTTACATCAAGCTCCCGCTTCTTTTGTCGCTTTATCCAGGCCCCAAACTTAACCGAGGCGACACACAAACACTTCCGGGTTACAGCGTCAGTATTGCCGCAAATTTTTCTGACAATTTATTTCGATCTAAATATATTACCCCAGGGACATGCATATTATGTATTTATAATAATTTTGACATATATTAAGATATATTAAAATGCTACCCAAAAATTGGTAAAACATCATTTCCGGGTCAGCCGAGGGTGCCTTTGTTCAGGCGGGTCCCTCCCTCAAGGTGATTCAGGGAGTGTCTTCAAATTGTGAACATATTGTTATTCAGAGGTACTAAATATATTACTTCATAAAAGGATTCAGATGTGGGGGAGTATTTTGTCCATCATCTCTGTGTTAGCTCTGAAAAAGATATCCAATTAATCTCACTCAGAGATAGTAAGAACTGCCGATGTTTACTATAGCCTGCGAAATTTTGTTCTTTTAAGTTTCTATCCAGTTTGCTTTTCAAAGTTATTCGTTGTTATACTTCAATTGCCATTTCAAGCAGTGTGTTCAGGTTAAAATATTTCCTCATGTTGCCTGTAGATTTTTTTTTGCCAATTTGCTTATCTCTGTAATTTTTAATTGCAAAAATATACTTTATTCATTTTTAAAAAACTTTATGTACATAAACCAATACTAGACCAGTTCTTTGCATATCAAGAAAAACAAACCTTGAAACTGATGATTGCAAAGGCCAAAAGGTATGTTTTACTAATGCAGAACACTATTTATACTTATGTTTGAGGCAATGAGAGAGTTTGACAGCTGAATGGACCCTCATTATACAATGGCGGAAGGACCTTAGATGGTGGTCTTTCCCCACTGTGCCCTGGCAGCAGCTTCCCCAAGCTTTAGTACATCACCCAGCACGTGATCTTGAACCTTGGAATGTGTCAGTCTGCAACACAGTCAAGGTCAGCTCTTTGCATTGGAAGACCAGCAAGTTTTGGGCAGTCCAAAGAACATTTTTTACCGAGTTGATGACTGCGCCTTGAAGACCAATGTTTATCTAGGTGTGCATTCTGTGGAACAGACCATAGAGCAAAGAGTCCTGCATCACGGAGTTGCTCGGAATGAACCTCAACAAAAACCACTGCATCTCTCCAGATTTCCTTTGCAAAGGCACATTACAACAGGAGATGTGTGACAGTCTCTTACTCCCTGCTGAAGCTGCTTCAAGGCAGCAAGCAGTGGGACAGAGAGTCTGGGTACACGTGAAGGATCTCACAGGTAATGCCCTTCCGTCACCATCAGCCAAGCTTTGGTGCTTGCTGGAAAGTTCTGGTGATGAGGCATTCTGTCAAATGATTTTGACAGTCTGCTCAGGGAACCACCCAACAAGATCAACTGTTTCCTCTTCCCACAGGGTTTTGAGGACGCTACATGCTGACCACTTCCTGATAGACTTGTGGTCAAAGGTGTTTTTCATTACAAATTTTTCGCCGAGGGACAGGTAACACGGTATGGTCCAACTGCTTGGAGTGTTCCACAGCACTGAGGCTAGACCCATCCTTCATAACACTGGGGAAAGGTAGAACCTCAATACATAATGACACTTGATGTTACTGTACCGAGGGTCTTTGCACAGCTTGATGCAGCCATATTCAAAGGTGGCCATCAGGATGAGAGTGGCATTGGGTACGTTTTCCCCCCACCTATCTAGAGCTTCAAACATGGTGTCCCTTCGGATGCGGTCCATCTTTGACCACAAGATGTAGGGGAAGGTGGCTCAGGTGACTGCAGTGGTGCAGTTTCGGGGAATAGGCCAGACCTGCATCACATACAACAACAGAGAAAGTGCCTCACACCTGGTGACCAGGTGTTTTACCTGCAATGGAGGGGGAGCAGAGCTTCCATCTGTCCATTTTTGCCTCACCTTGGCAATATACTCCTTCCAAGTTTTGGCGCACACCCTGGCCCATCCAAACCATATTCCCAGCACCTTCAGGTAATCTGTCCTAATGGTGAAGAGGATAAAGAATCAGTTGGCGCAGTTCCTAAAGAACGTGGCCTCGCTGTTACCACGATTTACCTTGGCATCTGAGGCCAGTTCAAACTGGTTGCAGAAGCTTATGAGTCTATGCACTGACAGTGGATCCGAGCAGAAAACGGCTATCATCATCCATGTACAGGGAGGCTTTGACTTGCAGGCCTCCGCTGCCTGGAATAGTCACCCCTCTCAGTCTCACAACCTTCCTGGACTCAGCAAAAAGTTCCATACAGCACACAAACAAGGCGAGAGAGAGGGGGCAGCCGTACCTGACTCCAGATCTGATCAGGAAGCTTTCTGATTCCTGCCCGTTGATTGAAACTGCATGAACAATGTTGGTGTAGAGTAGTCTAATCCAGTTGTGAATTCCCTCCCCAAAGTCCATTTTGGACAGCATGTTCAATGGGTATCCTGTCAAAGGCCTTCTCCTGGTCCAGGCTGATGAGGTAGGTGTCCACCCCCTGTGTCCTGAACATAGGAGCGTGAGGCTTTCAGAGATTGTCCAGGTTTGGTCAGGTGAATCACCGAACCCAGGGCAGACCTGACCCGGTTGGCAATGACCTTTAACAGGATTTTGTAGTCTGCATTCACCAATTTCTAATTTCCCCTCTCTTGTAGACGAGAGTGATGATACTTTTCCTCATGGATTCACACACATTATGACATGCTACCTGACAGAAGCATACTGTCGTACACCTCCAGCAGGTCCTGGCCAATCAAGTCCCACAGAGCTGAGTACAACTCAGCTGGTAAGCCATCGCTTCCAGGAGTTTTATTCCTTTCTAACAACTCAAGGCCTTGGTCATCTCACCCAGAGATAACGGCTGGTCCAACCTCTCCCACGTAGTGTGTGTGTGGTGGGGAGGAAGTGTGAGAGTGTGTGTGTGCACGTGAGAGTGTGTGTGTGAGAGGGAGAGAGAGACAGACAGACAGAAAGAGTGTGTGTGCACATGTGGGGGGTGGAGGGAAAGAGAGAAACAGTGTGTGTGTGCGCTTGAAAGTCTGTGTGTATAAGAGGATCTGTGTGTGTGTGTTTGTGAGTGAGAGAGAGAGTGTGTGTGTGTGTGTGAGAGAGTGTATAGTGTGGTGGGTCACCTGTAGTGCGACATGAACCCAAGATGCCGGTTGAGACCATCCTCATGGGTACCGAACCTGGCTATCAGCCTCTGCTCAGCGACTCTGTGTTGTTGTGTATCCCGAAGTCCGCCTTGGAGGACGTTTACCCGAAGATCTGAGGCTGAATGTTCTTGACCGCTGAAGTGTTCCCCCACTGGGAGGGAATATACCTGTCTGGTAATTGTTACCATGACAGAGTATAATGTTGTGGTCGATGTTATCCCGAGGCTGGGTAGTTTGCTGCGAACAATGGTCTGTTTAAGGTTTGGTGGTTGTTTGAAGGTGAGAAGTGGAGGCGTGGGGAAGATCGATAATGTGCTGAAGGCTGCGAAGAACATGGCATAGTTTCTGCGCTCCCAGGAAGTACTGGACGACAAAGGGTACCCTGTTGGACATATCCTGTGTCTGCCTTCTGAGGAGGACATTATGGTTTTTCGCTGTGGCACGTTAGAACTGGTGATCGATGAGTTGAGCATCATATCCTGTTCCTATGAGGGCGTCCTTCAATATTTCAGGTGTCTGTCGTGTTCCTCCTCATCTCAACAGATCCTGTGTATGTGTAAGGGCTAGTCTGTAGGGGATGGCTGTTTTAATATGTTTAGGGTGGAAGCTAGAGAAGTGCAGCATTGTGAGGTTATCCGTGAGCTTGCGGTAGAGTGAGGTATTGAGGTGTCCGTCCCCCTGATGGAGATGCATATGTCCCCCTCACATATACATACACACACACACTCACTCTCTCTCTCCCCCCAACACACACACCCTCCCCCCCCACACACACACGCACACACACAAGTAAATCTACGGGGTGAATTTGTATTTGCAGATACATTCTATTTTGTTCAAAAAGCACACAATTTATAGACAGTCAGTCAATATGGCATTTTATAAATTCCTACTTTAGAAATAAAACCAGTCTGACTCCAAACACAAACAGATTCTAAACAAGGCCTCACACCTAACATGCATTGTCTGACCTAAAATGTCAGCTCTTCTTTACACTGATAAAACCTTTAGTTCTCTCAGGACAGTGATTTGAAAGGAATTTGGGAATTTACATATGCATATTAAAACCTTCTAACTGATTAAAGATTTAACAGCATCTTAGATTTGTTTAATACATCCTCATCAGTGGTGTGACCCTTTGATTTTTTACTTTTAATTCTGTGTCTGATACTACCTCTCTCATTAACAGCTGAAGAAGGAGTAAGACTCCAAAAGCTCAGAGATAGTAAGAACTGCCGATGCTGGAGTCAGAGATAACACAGGGTGGAGCTGGAGGAACACAGCAGGCCAGGCTTTCCTGCTCTTTCAAGACTCCGAAAGCTTGTGTTTTCAAATAAACCTGTTGGACTATAACCTGGTGTCGTGTGATTTCTGACCTCATCTTAATTGAGACATCAGAGTTTTTTTTCACTTCTGTTATTTAGGATTTTTGTTCCTCACTGTCTCGGCACTGTTCCTTGGCTCGAAATTAAGTCAATTTTAAATCTACATGACTGAAAAAATATTTAAAGAAAGAATTTACAGTTGTATTGCACATGTCACTTCCACAAGTACTTCTGAAGCAGCTATTTTTAAACAGGAAATACTCAACAGATCCAGCGTCATCTGGGGAGAGAGAAACAAAGTTAACTGACCTAATATCAGCACTAGGAAACATTAGAAATTTAATAGATTTTTAGCAAGTTAAGGTGGGGAGAGGGGGAAAGCAGAAGAAAAGGCAAGGTCCATGATACAGTGAAGTGCAGGAGAAGGTTTTACGGTGTAAAGAGAGTGGGGGTGGGAATGAAATAAAAGATGTGTCTAGAGGAGGTGTAGTCCAAAAGCAAAAAAAAAAGTACACGATAGGAGAGAAAAATCAGACAAAGTGAGGGCAGAGGTTACAATCTTAAATTTTGAATGTTGAG